CGGATCTCTGCCATCTTGCATGGCCGGTCGACCCGCGTCTCCTCTTCTCCGGGGAGGACCTGCCTTATCCGCTCTGCAAGCAGATCGGCTTTCTCGGCGTGGCCCTCCCCAGAGACCTCGATCACCCTGGCACCGGTGGCCCCGGATCTGATGGTGATCCGGCACCCGATGCCAAGTTCCTCGAGGTTAATGTTGCGCCTTAGGGCGGTTAGGGCCCCGCGGTAGTCGCCGTCGGCTCGCGTCACTACGACGGCCGACGTCCGCGGGACCCTTCGCCTAGGGGCCCTCTTTGGCGCCCCCCCCGGCCTGCCCCTTCGCCGAGGGGCCGGGGGCCACCGCTTCGGAGGCGCCCCTGGCCGCTTTCCTCTGAGCGGCCTTGGCTTTCCTCCCCAGCACCGTCGCGAACGAATCAACGCCCGCGACGGGCTGGGGGGCCTGGCGGTCCCTTGGCTTAAGGGCCTCGCCTCCTCCACTGTCTGCGTCTGCCGCATAGGGGGGCCTTCTTCTTCTTCTTCTTCTTCTTCGTGGCCCCCCCCCCCCGCGGTGTTCGCCGTCTCCCCTGGAGAATCTGTCCTCCTAGCTCCGGACCTCGGATCGGCCCCGGGAACCGGGCGGCCCCCCGCGGCACCCCTCCACCCCTCTCGAGGGTTGGAGGGGACCGCCGCGGGCCCGCTAATACGGGCCCCGCCGCCGATAAAGGTCCGGAACATCTCCTCCATTTGACGGAGGATCTCCCCCTGAGACCGGCTCACGGCCTCCTGGATCCTCCGCTCCACCATCTCCCCCGTTAGCTCCCCTGCCTTCGCCGGCAGGGGCCTCCCCGCTTTCCTCAGGGCTTGGGGGGATGATGGAGGGGGATTCCTCGCTCGGTTTTGAGGGGGGGATCCGTCCTCTTCACAGAAGCAGACCCCGCCTTCCCCCTCGACCGCGACCTCTCCCTCCCCGGTTTTGAGACCCGGGAGGTGTCAGCCTTCGGCGTGACCACCTCCCAGCTCTTTTTCTCCGGGGGCGGAGGGTCGGCTACTTCCCCGGGGGGAGGGGGGTCCATTGGTAGACTATTATCGTCCACCTCCATCACCCCCTCCTCCCGGGCGTTCACCCCCGTGGGGGTGGTGCCTCCTCTGTTTCGCGGCGGATCGGGGGGTGGCATCATCCCCCGATCCCTCTCCTCCTTCTCCCTCTGGAGGGCCGCGAGTTGCGCCTTGAGAGACGCCACCTCATCTCTCAACATCTCCTCCCCTTCACTCGACCCGCCCTTCATCCGCGTGGACAGCGCGTCTACAGCGAGCCTCGTATAAAGGGCGCAGTCCCGTATCTGTCCGGTGATACCGCCCTTCAAATTTCTACTCGTTTTGGCCAGGTGATCGATTTTACTGCTAAAGTCGATCACCGTGGCCACGAGATCCCGAGTAGGAAGCTGGGGGATCTGTTCCCCCAGCTCCCTCTCCTTCTTCTTTCTCCCGGCCGTCTCATACTGCAGGGGGTCATAGTCCCCCTGCATGGCCCGCTCGTACTGGCGGTACTCCTCTCTTATCCGCTTCAGGTCCCTGTTCGCCTCTTTCCGGGCCTCTATCCCGATGCCCTCCCCGGTTTTTATAGGCCTGCCCCGGCCATCTTTCTTAGGGGGGAGAAGGTCCTCCTCCTCCCCGCTGGAATCGTCGAGGGGGCGCGCCACCTTCGTTCGCTTCCCCCTCCCACCGCTCCGACTCCTCTTTGTGGCCCCCGAGCGGGACGTGTGGGACCTGGTACTCCCGTCGGAGCCACCGTCCCCCTCGGGGTCCACCATGCTGGCCGCATCGTCGGTCGCGAAGGCCTCGGTATCCGCCTCGCTTCGCGCGGTGTCCTCCCCCTCCGTGTTCCTCGGGGAGGGGGACCCTTTGGATCTCTTGCTGATCCGACTTGCCAGGCCCGTCGAATCCCCCTCCTCGTCCGCCGAGTGGTCCCGGACTTAAGGGTCCGACCTGGGGAGCGATCGCGTGCACCGATCGAATTCGAATTCGAGAAGGAATATGCCATCCGATACCACTCTTCGTACATGATCAATCTATGGTCTGAGGGAAACTATCCTATAATAAATAAGCATGAACCATGAAACCTGTAGAGTAGAGACGTATGAGAAGTCGACCGATCGAATTCGATCGTGCACGCGATCGCTCCCCTGGTCCGCCTCGCGTCCTTCGCCCTCTTCTCGCGGAATTTGGAGGACTTGGGGCCGGGTTTTTGGACCCCAAGCCCGCCAACATCCACGGACACCTCCTCCACGTTTCTAATCGTGGGGCCAGATAGCCCAGACGGTCCAGGCTGTTGGGAGACCGTCTCGCCATCCTGTTCACCCCCACCGTCTTCTGCATCCTCATTCGCTCAAACGTGTAAATTTATTACTCGTAACTATTGTTATTTTGTACCGCGGTACATGATATTTCGCCTTAGTTTAACCCAATCTACCACTATTTTCAAGGTGGCTACTTTTGCATCAGACACCCTGTATAACTATTCCCTTATGAAAAAGTACACTCAATCATACGTTGACGGTCCGAAATAACCATCAAATATAGCGTAAACCTTCATGAAACACTCGATTATGAAGGTTTACACTCAATTTGATGGTTATTTCGGACCGTCAATGTATGATTGAGTGTATTTTTTCATAAGGGTTTACGTATATACACACACGCGCGTGCGCGCATCACATTACAAAATATTTTTGTACCACTTTTCCAATGAATTTTTAATGACCTGAGTATATATGTATATTTCAAATACATGCATAATTAACAACTTTAAAATTACTTACTTGTACGACCCATATCTGGCGCTTTCGGATATGGTGGTAAGCAAGACTGATAATTGCTATCATCATCACTTTCATCATCAGTAATTTGTTTTCTAGCTCTAACTTTTCTTTGAGTTTTGTCGTCGGTATCCGTATTAATATCGGAATTCATTTCGGCCTTTTTAAGTTTATTACATGCTTCACTGTAGGTTTCTATAAAAAAATATCTAGTCATTATTATATACATTAACATGACAATATGTTTGTTACAATAGTTCGAAAATGATCGTTTACATATAAACAACAAGTTAAAAACCCTTGTAATATGTTTACTTACCATATACAGGGTGTTTCTTGGCTGTTGTGATAACTTTTTACCATAGGAAATGGGTTACCGACCGCAACTGTTAACCGAGTAGTTCATAGATGTCAGCTGCATAGATCGATCTGCTGTACAGGCACGTTAAAAACAGAATCAAATAATCTGTTGCATGCTATGCATACATACCTTTTCGATAAATAATATGTATATCCAACTTTCTTAGGCGTTTTAGTTTTTACATGGATATGTGTAGTAACGTAATTTCTTAATTATCATTGTATATCGCGTAAAAACAAATAATTTTCGATATTTGCGTATTTTTTTCAATAATATTTTATTAAAATTCTTTATTTGGTGACATATTCTTTTCACGCTTACGTGAAAGCATTTACATTTCAGCGCGTAGAAGAATAGTTGAATCAACAGCGTTAGAAATTATACTACATACAAAAATATAAAGTCTACAATTATTCTTATAAAAGTTGTGTCATTATGCAACAAATATTTTGATATTTCAATTGGCTACTTCCATCTGTGCCAGATCGTAATAAAGAGGCGGTTACACTTGTAATTGATTTATATCTTAAAAGAACCGAGTTAAAATTTTGTTGTTAAAAAATCTCGGTTCTTTTAAGATATAAATCAATTACAAGTGTAACCGCCTCTTTATTACGATCTGGCACAGATGGAAGTAGCCAATTGAAATATCAAAATATTTGTTGCATAATGACGCAACTTTTATAAGAATAATTGTAGAATTTATATTTTTGTATGTAGTATAATTTCTAACGCTGTAGATCCAACTATTCTACGCGCTGAAATGTAAATGCTTTCACGTAAGCGTGAAAAGAATATGTCACCAAATAAAGAATTTTAATAAAATATTATTGAAAAAGATACGCAAATATCGAAAATTATTTGTTTTTACGCGATATACAATGATAATAAAGAAATTACGTTACTATACATATCCATGTAAAAACTAAAACGCCTAAGAAAGTTGGATATACATATTATTTATCGAAAACGTATGTATGCATAGCATGCAACAGATTATTTGATTCTGTTTTTAACGTGCCTGTACAGCAGATCTGTGGGGGCTTGTTGCGATATATTTACAGCCCGGCTGAAGTGCCCACAATTACTTCCTTGCCGATAGCTGACAGCGAAGGCGGGAATAACTCACTCACAGTATTGGAGATATAAGACTTTATTCGAGATCGTAGATACACGGTAAGGTAATCAGTCTTGACCGTGATACAGGCGAGTAACGACTAACTTTCTCTGTCCCGCTCGGACAGCGCCACCACCGACCATAGACTGTGTCGTGGTATAGTTAGGCAACTGCAAGTCACCACACACTCCCCCCCGAGTGCTAACGCTGGAGAGAAGGAAATATAATTTTGGTATGACACTGTGTGTCTATCACAAATAATCGACGCTGCCGAATATCACAAAGAATATTGCAGGAACTTATGATACCGCTGCTTAGAACTAGTGTGAGCGCAGGATGTATCACAGAATTATACAAAGGTACTGCTGCTTAGAACGAAAATGTAGACGCAAGATGTACAATGTAAGGTGGATTAAACAATATTAAGGTACCGCTGCTTAGAACAAATATGTAGACGCAGGCTGTACATTGCAAGATCCGAAATAAAATATAATATATATTATACCGCTGCTTAAAGACTAACGCATACGCGGATATATAACTAATTGCACATGGAATAATACAGTATCGCTGCTTAAAGACTAACGCATACGCAGGATGTAGGTATAAATCGAAGCAAATACGCGACCGTGACCAGAATGAAAATTGCACTTAACACTAATGGCAAACGGAACATATGAATTTTTACGCGCGATACATAATCACCTGTACTTTCCCGTGTCAAGCTTTTACTAGCGAGGGGATAACCGTACGGTGTTTTTGTCTAGCCTAATTTGTACCTTTTTTTTCGGGCCCGTATACGTTTTCAAGGAACCCGGTTGAACGCTTGACGAAGCAGGAGGCTTGTCTGTAGCGTCGGACGTAGACGGATTGCCAGGGGCTAGAGCGTCGTCCGGTACAAAATGAGCAGGCTTAAGACGCTCGATCGAAACGGCTGTAGGTCTACCGTTTATCTCGATCGAGTAGACTTTGTCCGACGTCCTTTCAATTACCCTGAAAGGGCCTGAATACGGTGGCTCTAAAGGCTTTTTAACCGCGTCCTTGCGGAGGAAGACGTGCGAACAGACAGACAATTCCTTGAATCGGAAAACGCGCTTCTTATAGTGGTGTGCCACCGGTACTGGCTTCACCTGACGCATGTGCTGTCGAAAGTCATCTACAAAAATTTGGGGATCCGGTGTAAAATCCTCCTGGAGGAAGAATTCTCCCGGGATCCGCAGTACCTTGCCGTATAGGAATTCGGCCGGGGAGGCTTTAGTGTCCATACGCACATGGGTGCGCAGCCCGAGCAAAACTGTCGGGAGGACCTCCACCCAATTCGGCGTGTTATGGCACATGATCGCCGCCTTAAAGGTGCGGTGCCAACGCTCGATCATGCCGTTAGCGGCGGGGTGGTAAGCTGTCGTACGAATGCGTCTGCATCCGATAAGCTTGAGAAGGGCTGCAAAGAGCTGTGCCTCGAACTGTTGACCCTGATCGGTCGTTAAAATACTAGGTGCACCGAAACGAGCGACCCAATTATCAAAGAAGGCTCTGGCTATTGTCCTGGCCGTAATATCTATCAATGGAATCGCCTCTGGCCAGCGGGAAAACCTGTCTATAATTGTAAGGCAATAAGTAAAACCATTACTGGGCTGCAAAGGACCAACTATGTTCATGTGGACGTGGTCGAAACGCCCGTCAGGAACCGCAAACTGTGCAGGCTCGAGTTTAACGTGGCGCGAGGTTTTGCACTGCTGGCAGTCAGTGCAGTTACCCGCCCAAGTCGCGACGTCGCGATGT